ACAGCAGACAATGGTCATCTCTTAAAAAACAAAATATTATGTTAAAAATATATTTTTTCCTCCAAATAATTTCATAAAACTCTGTGTTTGATGTGTTTCCATTAGAATAAATTGCTGCTGTTATGGTTGTTATAGTTGCATTAAATAGGCAGTTAACTGGCATTTTGTAAACCTCATCAATGTCACAGAAATAATTTTTAGTTAAAAATATACTCTTCCATTTATAGACAAGGTATGATTTGTTAGGGATACAAAAAGGGACATCCATTTCAGGAATATTTACACAAGGGAGTGAGTGGTAATATGTGTTTAATTAGTTGAAAGTGACAAAAATGCTATTTCATATTTAAAGTATTCCAAGTTTCTCCCTTTGCAAGGTAGAATTTAGCAAGAAACTTTACCCATTATTTACAAAATTACTTAGTTTTCTAACTTGTATGTTCAATTTTTAGTGATTTAGTGTATATTATTATTTTGCCACTAAGAATAGGCATACAGTTAAGTGAGATATATCTCAATGGGTGTTTTCCATATCAATATTTGTAACAATAAATACATGTTTGGGAATCAAAGCAAATTTGAGCAATTTCAGAGATTTTATTTCTCTTGTGGGTAATTTTTTCAAGTACATTAAAGATTTAATTTTATTTGTAAGTTTATCTAATGGTTAAATGATTTCAGAAGTGTAGGGTGTTGCTAGCTAGTTCTAATGAAAACTGGACCACTGCTCAAGGTGATATTTGATTTTCTTTGTTCATTGGGTTATTTATTAATAATTATAGTAGGTGGGTTTAAACCAAGAGAGACAGCTATATACATAGGTGTGAGAACAATCCACTAGATTTGTAGTTTAAGGGATAGCATTTTGAGGAGATGCCACATACACACAAATACCTCTTCTTATACAATTCTCTCCTTTTAAGATTAAATAGTTGATATGCTGATAAGTAGAGCCATTTTTAATCATGCCTCTTAAAACACAGACATAACCTGCAGAGTAACACATCAGTTCCCACAGGTGTTGTATTGTGGATTAGTGGCTCAGATTAGCCACCTGCCAATTGATGAACATTTTAGAAAGGGGTGAAGGAAACGTGGAGAGCATCTGCATGGGCCAAAGTTCAGGCCTCAGAGTCAAGGGCCCTGGGAAGTCAAGGAAATCGCCTGAAGACCAAGGCCACTAATGATGTGTTAGCACAAGGAGCGCTTGACACCAAGAGTGAACTTCCTCTGTTTCATATTTTGAATCCAGCTGTTAAAATCATGGGATAGACTTGGGATAAAATAAGTGTTCATTGAGTTTCTACATATCTTGAAACATATCTGTAGATTAGAGAAAAATATTGCAAAAACCCACTATGGTTGTCATTTATTCTTCTACTAGCCTAATGACTAATTCTCCTATCTTCATTTAACAAATAATTGCTTGAGAAATGTGTTAATGAATGATCTAAAGTGATATATTTAATCTGATCAACTATAGAGGAGTACAATAAACAGTTTAATATGAAATCAAGAGAAAATTTGGACAAGGGAAAATGTAAAGTAGAATGCCTACAATAATCAAGTGGTTATATTGAGCCCATGTTGAATAATTTTGTAGTTTAAAATTATGTATGAAATGTGTAGTTAGATCATACAGACACACAGGCATATTCAAAATTATAAAAGCAAATCTGTTTTTCCTACTTATTTTCTAATGGAACAGGGTTACTATTTCAGAGTTATACACATTTTCAGAAAGACATATTCATTGTATATAATTTCTATGCCCCTGTGCCAATCTGGATTTCATTATATATATAAAAACTCCATTTATGCTTAAAATATTGATTTTGAAAAGGTCTCAGAAACCTACCATTTTCTGACTCAAAAATAACTAGGAAAGTGCAGGTGATGACTAAAAAAGAGGAAATGAATTCACTATTGATGTTCATATTCATTGAACTGACTTTCAAGGATGTGTGGTTAGATTTTCTGGGGGACACAAAGTAAATGAAAAACTTCATCTCAGCTCTGATATTTTGTAGTTTGCGATTTCTTGGTAAACCACACAAATCCTGAGTTCTCCTTGCCTTATCAGCAAACTGGTTACCAATCCTCCATGATTCCTCATGAGAATTAAACATCATAATCTTGTAAAGGTACCTAGGACAATGCCTAGCCTAAGCAAGGGTCTCACTGTGCATTAATTTAAATCTGAGTCTGACCCCATCTATTTGGAGGAATAACATATAGGGACCTAGCAAAAATAAACAGAGAAACCAAATAAAACTGCAAACTGTCCAACATTGCAAATTTTTTTTGGTAAGAAGCTAAAAGCATTTTAGAAAATTGGAAAAGACAAGATCTTTCTGTTTTAGTGAGGGATGGACCCTAGAGGAAGTAGCGCTTGATTGTGAAGTGGTGGGTTCTCTCTCAACAAAGGCATCAACTAGAATTCTAATCTTTTTCGCTCTCTTGTTATATCAGAAGTTCTTAATATTTCTAAGATCCCAAATGGAAGTGTGGATTAGCTAGGGAGTGGGGAATGGGAAAAGACAAGAATTATGACATACTCACAAAATTTTACATACAGTATTAGAGGTTTCACTGAAATCATTCGCCCTAAACTTCCCTCATGGAAATAATCCTTGTAAACCTAGACACTGGAATCAAAATCAATTAAAAACTTTTATTGCCAAATAAATTTCAGATTCTAGTACCTTGCACAACATAAGGTATCATTAGTTGTTCAATGAATATTATGGATCCAAATTAATCTATGTATCCAAATATTATAGATTTATCATCTCTGTGCCATTTGAAAGTTGCCTTCTAAGCTATCCCTCTGTCAATATTAACCCATCATCATAGACAAATGTAATACATTGCACAATCTAAGGCTTTCCACAAATACTCCCCAATCCGGGTATTATTTTACCTGGCACCATCATGAGAAATCCCATGAGGTCATTTTTCTTGAATTACAGTCAAAAGAAACAAAATCAAAACCAGACTTTAAATATATTATATTTGATTTCTGTAGTAACTCCAAAATGTTAATATTATTCTTGACTTCTGCTTCGGTATAACTGTTGATTTTATTTTGGGTATTTTTTTTTCATATATATTGTGGATGTCATAGGCAGAAAGGACTGCAGGGGTTGGAAGAAAACTATCAGACTGGCTAATGTAAACAATACTCGTTCTCTAGAAAGAACCAGAAGAGTCATATGAAACTGAACAACCTACCCATAAAATCTAAATATCAATGTTGAGGAGGGTTGTTGTTTTTTTTTTTTTTATGTTGTTTTCCATGTTCAGTCTTTAATAGAAAACTTACCACAGTTCAGGGTGTTTTCTGTGAATTAATGGCTGGCCTCAGTGAATGGCTTTGGCTTTGCTTCAGTCCATCACCCCAGAATGTTCCTCGTGCCTCCCTCTTATTACTTAAATGTGCTCCTTTGTATATTTTTATGGATCTTTCAGAAGTGGTGATCCTCTTCCAGGGGAAAGGCAACAGGTCATATTTAGTTTGGAGAGAAAGTTTGCACAATAAAAAAAATAAAAATAAAAAACTGTGGAAAACTCTTACATAGCTATCCCAGTAACCCCAGCGATTTGGGTATCACTCTTTTTTCATCATCACACTAATAACACCTAAAATGGAGGTCATGTAAGCAATCCTATAGCTTAATTTTGGTGTATAGGACATAGTAAGGAGAGGAGTTAGCGTAGCAAAGATCTGACTGTGTAAAGACTATGACTAGTACGTAGATTTTACCTCAAGAGAAGTAGACAATGTGTATTGTGGCATTATGGCATTTTGATTATGCATAATGAAAACTTTTGCAACCATGAATTCTTACTAAAGATAACTGTATAGTCCTTTCTATTAGGATCATTAGAAATCAAGAGTTTTATTTGGCTAATTTTGGGGGATTTATTGGGAATATGTGGTATTACTTAAAAGGGAAGAGGAAACTCAATAAACTCTTATGGCTGCTTATTATGACTTAGTTATACCTGCAATTTTATGGAGAATTTTGCTGTTATTTCTTTATAACTGATAAGATCAAAATACTGAGAAAATAAGTCAGGAGTAGTGTTAAGAATTTAATTCACATACTAGATCACATGGCCTAAGAGAAGCATTATTTTTTTTTTTAAGATTTTTATTGGGGAATTGGGGGATGGGAACAGTGCTGGGGAATTGGGGGAAGGGGAACAGACAAGTTGTTGTCGTTTTGTTCTTCAGTCTAGTTGTGGTGGGTGTTGCTTCACTGGCCCAAGTTGGCACCATCATTGCGCTCTTCCCCTGCGAGGCAGATCAGTCGCCAGCTTCTGGACGGCCACTCACAGTGGCTGCTGGCCGCTCACGCTGGCTGCTGGCTACACACGGTAGCCCATGGCAACCCACTGCCACAGGGGCTGCAGCCTATGCTGTGGCCGGCGACTCACAGCCGCCCAGCTCCAGGTTCAGCATCTTAGCTGTAGAGGGCAGTGTCACTGGCCCTCATATGTGGGATCTGAACCGGGGCCCTCTGGCGTCCCAAGCCAGCTATTAACCAACGCGCCACTCGGCCGTCCCCAAGAGAGGCATTATTTTTTAACAAGGTTTTTATTTCTCCTTCTCCAAAAGTTTCATAAACTATATAAATAATAAGATCATTTAATACAATACATACAACATGCAGTATGCCCAAATGGCAGAAGAGAGTTCTATTTCATTCAGTATCTAACTTACTTAGTCTCATCCCTATAAATGACTCAAATTTGTGAGAATTAAAAAAGAAAAAAGCCATAGAAACAAAACTTTTTACTCCCACTCTCATCTTCACATAATGTTTTTGAAGCTGGTTTGGCTAAATTCTATCAATGAACAACTGCTACATTCAATTTCAATTATTTAACTGTCTAAAATATTTATGTTTATTTTCTCCACATTGTTAACTTAGCTGCATGAAAGGATTGATTCCATTTTAATTGTTTTTCCTTTTTGTGTTTTATTTCTTCAGATTTTTTTTTCCATCTGCATTGCTTTCTGGGGAGTAAGAAGCATGAAACAACTTGCCTCTGGCCTTTGGAAATAACTTGCATTTGTACACAGTTCTTTTGTTTTAATTAGTTGTCTACAACCACAATATATTCCTACTGACTATAAAAAATAATTATCTTATACAGTAATTAGATGAGCCATTTATTTAATGAAAGATGAATATACTTATTTACTCTTGATTGCTTTCCACATTTACTATTTTCTATTAAAATTAAGTCAGTTGCAGTTACTTTCCTTTATTGCTCGGGTTGAAAACAGATTATTTCAAATATAATGATGTTATATCTACTGGTAGCATCGAAGCCAATGAGAAAAGGAAAGGAGAAAACTTAAAAACAGTAAAAAAGAATGAAGATTTCATGTGCATTGGTGTGACAACTTTTCTTTTCCTGTTTGCTGAAGTTGTGATTGTGTTCTGTGCCATTGAGTCAGCTCGACTCCTGGTGACCCTGTGAATGAATGATGTTCACAATGTTACACCTTCACCAGCCCTGCTCAGCAATGGGAGACTCAAGCCTAATGCTTCTTTCGTGGAGTCAGCCTATCTCACATTTGGTCTTCCTCTTTTCCTGCTGCCTTCTGTTTCCCAGCACTGCTGTCTTTTCCAAAATGCCCTGACTTGTCATGATGTAGGACAGCTTCAGTTTTGTTGTTTTTGCCTCCAGCGATGTTTCTGGCTTAATTTGCCCTAGGAACCACTTATTCATGTTTCTCCCTGCCCAGGGTATCTACAGAGTTCTCCTCTGACACCATATTTCAAATGAACCCTTTTTTTTCTTTCTTTTTTTCTTTTTTTATCAGTCTTCTTCACTGTCTACCTTTCACATCCATATCTAGTAATTGGGAATAAGAGGATGTGGATGATTTTAGCCTTGGTCTCTAATGAAACAGCTTTGCTCTTGATAGCTTTGACATAGCTTTGCTCTTTCATTGCTGTCCTTCTGAGTCTTAGCCTTCTCTTGATTTCTTGGCTTCAGTTCCCATTTGAATTGATGACTGAATCAAAGTAAGTAAAATCTTTAACGATTTCAGTGTCTTCACTGTCTATGTTAAAGTTGTGTATTTCTTCTGTAGTCATGACTTTTGTCTTGATGTTCAAGTGCAGTCCTGCTTTAGCACTTTCTTCTTTCACTTTCATCAGGAGTCATTTCTGATCATTGCTACTTTCTGCCAGTAAGATGGTGTTACCTGCATCTCTTAAGTTATTGATATTTCTTCCACCAATTTTCACTTCTCCCTTTTCTCTGAGTCTACCCTAGTTTTTCATATGATACATTCTGCGTACAGATTGAACGATAAGGAGATAAAATGCACCTTGTTTGACATCTTTGCTATATGAAACCATTCTGTTAAAATTGTACTTAAATACATATTTGTCATCATGAAAAATGTATTACATTAGTTGTTTACCTTATATTTACCTTAGAAAACAACATAACCTAAGGAGCTACATTACAGAAAAAGACATCACTAAAATGAAAATGAATAGCATTTGTCAGAATTAGTTTATTCAACAGATTAATTTGTGGTACGTATTTCTAATATGTTTGTTCAATTTGTTTGCAGATTTGGGAGCATGCAGTAATTCAGTGTTATTTGAAATTGTCCCAATAATGTTAATAAAACTCTGTAAACAAAATTACTCCAGTAAGTGTGTGTACAGTATTCATTGGAATTGTAAAAATCTGCCAAGTGTTTCAAAATGAGGGAACTGACAGAGATAAGCAGGGTAAGGTTCAAAGTTGGAAAGATTGAAAACAGTTGAATTTTTTTTCTTCCCTTCTTCCAATGTTTCTTAGATGTAAAGTTACAGTTTAAGTAATCAAAGTTATAAACACTGAATCAATTAATGCTGTCCTTCATTAAGCTTTGCCGATATTCATTGATAGGTTAAAGACATCCATCAGTTGGTTAACATCATTTAAAAAAATATGTTATTTAAGCTTAGAACACAGAAAAATATCGAACTCTTAAAAGAATCAGGTTGCAGGTATCTATGTGAACTCATGAGGCAGGATTATAACGCATTTATTTTTCAAACTGCAAAAAGCAGAGAAAGATTCAATTTTACATAATGGAAAAATTAACAAATTATCTCTCAAGCGTCAGAGGTAGGACTAGGCGTTGCTTCATTCATCTGTTTATACTTCTTAATTTAACACAGAATAGAGCAAATACTTAAGCCCGTAACAAACATTAAACCCTACTTTTGTCCCGACCAACAGTTCTTGCTGGGCTTTGCACATAATAGAATCATGTTAAAGCTGGGGTCCCTCTGCTGGCTTGAAATTGCTAAATTTTTAGCCTATAATTTCTGAATACCCATATTTATATCCTAAGGACTCTTTGGTCTATAGGTTCCATCCTTCAAGAATGATGAAGAGAAGAGAGGTTTCAAAAATCTCTAAAGTAGGCTTTTAGTACTACAGAATAGTTTAATGGTCTCCCCATGAGCATGTATAAATATTTACATAGGCTTGAGTATATGTGAATTTGTAGGAGTGGCCTCAAAATGAGTTTAATCATGGAAATAAATAATTCAAAAATGATAAAATGCTTTTATGGTAAAGTGTAGTTTTAAATAAACTCAAATTTACCCATTGTCTTTTTTTCCTCTCGGATACGCTTGCTGGTTATAAATGATTTTCTATTAGAAATGCAGACATTTTCAAGGTACAAATTTCCAGGCCTTTCAAAGTGGAAGTGATTCCCAGATAAGCAGTGTTCCCAGGTCCTGTGTGTGTTAACTGGAGGATTTAATTCCTCACCTTCAACCTCGCTAATTTTCCAGTCCAGTTTTCTCTTGCCAAGTACTAATACCTAATGACAGATCATATAACTATTATTAATGTTGTAAATTGATCTTGAGTGATGCCATGTAATTTATGGGTACCCTTACTGGAAGCACTTTAACTCTCTCATTCTCTCAAGAGGTAAAGCACTAAAAATAGGACTCATGAATTCCTCACCACTTCTAATGGAGAGGTGCAAGTTGACTTTGCAAATAATTGTAAAGATCCTCAGGTTCGCTAATCCACCATAGGGAAGGACAGAGAGAGGGAAGAAGGCAATTTTGTTTATTGAGTACTATTCATTAGCATTATTTCATTTAGTCTCTAAAATCCTGACAATTAAGTGCTGTTAATACCATTTTATAGAAGAGAACGCTGAGGCTAAAGAGGTTAAAAACCTTGCTCAGGGCTGTAATGCAAAATTGGTGGCCAAGATAAAAATTTAAACCTCTGAAGTTCAATATCAAAGTCTATGATGTTTCTCTATTCCATGATATCAGAGACCCAAGGCAAATCTTTTGAAGTATATAGGCATGAGAGTTTAAGTTCAGAGTATTTCCTATTCAATTTGATGCTCCAAGGTACAAAATAAAGCTCAGAGGATAAGTACTTCAGTTATAGGATGGATTCATTCACTGGGTGAATGGATACAGAACTTCTAATCTTTCTAAGACTGATAAGGCTCTAGGTTTATTTATAGAATTGCCATATGTCTAACATAAGTCCATTCCTGTGCTTGATTTGATTTGTTGGCATTGCCTATTACTTTAGCTCTATTTCTTATATCACTTTCCCTTTATCTTGTTCTTTCTAATTATTTTTGTTAACTGTAATTATCTCATGGCCATGATATTTAGCAATGTGTGGATCTGTAATTGTGTACCTGAAATTCAGTTAATCACCAAAGTCTATGAACTCTTGTTAAATTTAATATGACTAGCTTACATTATTGTGTATGTGACATTCTCAAATTTCACTTTACTAGGGGTATATAATTCTGTCATTCAGTGTGGAATCTGCAATAGAATTATTGAGTGGAGCTCTTTAAAGTAAGGCATACGTTATGATGGACAGAAATGTGACTTATCACGGAGAGCAGTGATAGGTAGAAAATGAGCCCCCTTTTTGATCCCCCCTCCTTTATTTATTTATTTATTTTTATATTTGTAGCTTCCAGAATCCCAAGGAAAGATTCCAAACACAGAGGCCAGTTTGGCTTTCAGAATCTTAAAACATTTTTCATGCCATGACTTTCAGCAGCACTATGAAAGCAGGCTGGACTCGATTTTAAGCCTGCCTCAGTAAAAGAATATTGAACAGAAAATGGTCCCTCTAGTGTTAGAGTATTTTTTTAATCTCAGTCCAGTCTGCCACCCTTTCTTCTCAATAGCCTAACAAATTAAACGCTTCCCTCCCCAAAGACTCAGAAAAGGTTATTAGCAAAAGAAGCAAATAAGCAAGCATTGATTCTTTTCCTGTGTGGGTTGTCTTCATTTTGGAATTTCATGATTCTAATATCTCTAATCAAAATTTCAACTACTGGAGAAATCTCAGTATCCATCAATCATAAATTCAGTCCTTGAGTGTCTTCTCCCTTTGTTTTAGCAACAATTGATCCAAAAATCTAACTTGCATGTTTACATTACAGAAAAAGGAAGAAACAGGCTTTGTCTTTATGCATTAGGATTATCTGTGGATCTTTTTAAAAATGAAAATACCTGGCAGGAGCATTGGAGTTCTTATTTAGTAAGAACACAAGCCTCAGAACCCAGTGTGGTCATTGGATGTCTCAGGTTCTTCATCGAAAAAAGTGTGAGCACTGGTCCTGACAGGACCTTTTACAGCATAAAGTTCCTGTAACTCTGACCTTCCCATGATCAGCTTATCCAAATTACTTCCATATTTTAAAGTAGTATAACACATTTCTTTTAAAACTATAATCAAATTTGGACATCGATCAATAATGAATTAATGAGGTTTTATTTCAGGGTATGCTTATTAGAATCAAGCCAATGGGGACAACCTTCAAAGACAAGGGAACTATTAAGGTATAGTACAAAGACTAAAACCACTCTCATCCATTTAAGAATCCTAGAACAATTTGCAAATTCTAATTTTTATTTTACAGACTTTCTTCTCTTTCTAATCCCTATGTGTATTTTCTTTGCTCTCTGTATTTTATTCTATTCTTTCCATTCTCCCTTCCTTATCTTTTCTATTACAATTAAGTTAAAACAGTTTTACATGAAATGCGGTCTACCTTAACAGAATTCTGTGTGCTTATTATGGCCACCACGTTTCGATTTACTAGTTGATAAATTACTTCCTTGGCCATCTTTGCACTCTTTTGAAGTGAAAATAATCTCTAGTAGTTCCTTAATGATTATTCCCTTTCAAACTAAAAACAAACAACTGTTCACTGCATATATAGCCCTTGGAACTCTTGCACATGGTGACTACACAAACAAGTCTAGAAAAATTCAGGTCGTTGGATATATGTGCATGTGGTCAGCCCTGGGGTCCAGCAGTGATAGTCCTACAACACAATTGCTTCCTGTATCAGAAAAACATTCAGGCTTTAAATGTGTTATTAAATGTGAACGGTAAACAACATTTATTTAAGGAACTATTGCAGCTTTTTTCAGAAATGCAACCTATCAGCTTAAAAAATGCAACAAGAAATAGCTTTCTCTGTCCTTAACCTCTCTGTACTGAAATCTATGAGAGGCAAATATCAAATATAAAAGTTAGCTTTATTTGGGTATGTTGATGCTTGAAATTTGTGGCCACAACTCTGTACACTCTGGAGACCCCCACATGGGGAAGGTGGGGACGTGCTGAAGAAGCTGCTGATAGTGGAGAGGTTGCTGCTATCGTTTTATTGGTGGACAAATTCAGCCAGCAGGGATCGCAGCACCAAGTTGAGTTTCCTTCCAGTTCTGTAATGGAATGGAGGCTTTGACAATTTTGTAGAATGACAACTTATTTTCATAGGTCTTTGGAAATCAAAAAATAAATCCTAAAAAGGCCGCAAATTCAAACATCCTACTGTCTTATCACTGCACCCGCTCTTTCCAGCTCAATACCTTTGGTGCTTTACGGCCAACTTTTGTCCTGCTGAGACATTTCTACCACTTCTCCACTGTCTCTCCCTTCCTCATGTATTTACTTACTTTTTTAGATCTTGAATTTCATGGTCAATCATTATAATAACTCTTTGGGTATGCCTGAATCACAAAAGGGATTAAATCAAACTGTAGGTCTCCTCCGGGCCCTGCACTGTTACAGCTAAATGTGCATAAAGAAAAGCACACAACCATGAAACTGCTCTCAGCTATCCATGATTACATACCCCCAATGAGCTCTGAATTCCATCCAGCAATCATATGACACTTTGCAGTCCTATTCACTCTTCTACACTCCTTGATGACTGTTTCATACTCTACAAACTTTCAACATGTCTTCAGTCTCAGTTAATGACCTAGATCCTTATTTCATTGGGGGGGGGGCAGTAGAAACCATCAAAGAAAACGTTATCTAACATACCATCCAAACCTCTTCCTATTAATGAGCTGCTCCTACTCTAAAATAGGGCTCACCTCTATGCTTATGCCCCAGTTCCCATCCACCGAAGCTTACTCAGATATAGCTTCAGTAATTCTCAATTTTCCTCTGTCTACTATCAACATACAAAAATACCATTATAGTTTCCCCACTTAAAAAAAATTGCTTTATTTCTTCTTTGCTTTCAGCTAGCTATATTTATCTCTGTTAGTCTACCTTAAATTTCCTTCAGAGAGTTGTATTTGATCCTTGTTTCTAGTCTGTCTTCTTCCATTCTCCCTTGGACACACACTAG